TAATTATAAAAATGTATTATTGTAGGATGAAATCAACCTTTATTTTTAAACATTTAGTGAACATTTCGGATGTTAATGCCTCTTTTATATAAAATGGTTTTATTAATTAATCAATTTTTGTTTTACAAATTTTTAATTTTCTCCATTTTGTTTGATTTTTATGCTATATTTATTTTATCTATCTATAATTATTTGCCTGTGCTTTATCTATTAGTTCCCATTTATATACTGTAGAAAATTTTGAATTCCTAATCTGTTAAAGGGACTATTTTTTCTTAAAAGTATTTCAATTTAGTGCATTATTAATGTCTTTAGTGCTTGGTTTAGTTGATATTAAATTTAGATATATTTAAAATGTATGTTTTGGGACCATGGGGTAGGGATATTGTGAACATATATATTATATTCTCAGTTCTTTTTAAGGTTAATTGTAAAAAAAAATTAAATAGCTTTTTTTGAGGGGTGGGGGGATATTGTTACTATTGAACACAATTTTATTAGTATTGAAATTAACTTTGTTGATTAATATTCCAAATGTCTCGGTGCTTTATTTTTCAATTTAAATAGCTACTTTTTATTTAATAATTGGGAATGGGGGGGGGGGGTATTTTTTCATTGTATAACACAATTTTATTAGTATTGGAATTAACTTTGTTTATTAACCTTCGAGATGTCTGTATTGGTATTAATTAGGCATTAATTTATTTTTTCATATTTATTGAATAAATAATAATTTAACAAACAAAATTATTATGTCATTTATCAATAATTACAGTTTAAACAGAACGAATGGAAGGGGTTGCATTCGAAAGGTTGCTATACTGGATATAAATTGGTAAAATACAACACACGTTTTTGTTATACACAAGTTTGTACGAAACAACACGAGTTTCAGAAATTTCAACACAAGTTTCAGAAATTTCAACACAAACAAGTTTCAGAAATTTCAACACAAATAATGTGTAGATTTTCACACAAGTTTTGTGTTGTTTCAACATTTAACACAAGTTTTGTGTTGTTTCAACATTTAACACAAGTTTTGTGTTGTTTCAACATTTAACACAAGATTGTGTTGTTAAATAGAGACACCTAACTTGTGTTGAAAATAACACAAGTTTGTGTTGTTTCAACACAAGTTTTTTTTCAGTGTGTGAGGATAAATAATGGTTATGGTTATGCAAGCAAAATGTGTCGAAAAATCGAATTTGACAAAAATCAATTAAAAAAAATGTATTTTTCATTTGATGGCGGACATATCTTTCAAAATGACTGCCAAATTTGGTAATATAATACCATTTAAATAATAATAATAATAATAATAAAAACAACATTAATTTGGTAATAAAAGGGCAACGATAATCTCAATAATTTAATTTCGAGAATTCTTGACGGTAGAAATTCAAAAATGGCAGGCAAAATTTTAATTAATCGTCATTTCTTTTCGTTGGGTATAACTTGTAATATGTGGTATATTAATCCCAAAATGGCTTAGTTGCTCTTAAATGAATATATTGTTAACGCGCTTTAAACATCTAGATAATTGACTTCAAATTCAAGATTCATTGAAATGTTGGCAATAAAGATCCAATCATAGGTTTTAGTTACACTTTGGTAACAAATCTCAGACACGATCTATATATTTGTCTGCGATATCACCTCGGTGGAAGCGGACGTAAAATACAACTAACTAACAACTATATATTTGATACTAGTTGAGCATCCGAACAACATGATTATTTCATTGGAAATTGGACGCAAATACCCAAAGGAGTCGGACAAACTCTTAACCAACTGCGTCTCCTTCACTTGGCCCTTTCAATGTATATATATATTTAATAATATTAAATGCATCATAATGAATAAAGAAAATACAAAATACATATTACTATAACAATAAGAGATATAAAATGTCGACTGATATATCATTATATATATATATATATATATATATATATATATATATATATATGCAATAAAGCTAACGTACTTTATGTAATAAAGTGAACGTTAAGGATACCATACGTAGCGCATGTGCATGCAATGTCCTTTATATGGAGCATGCATGTGTGCGTGTAATATTTGCAGAATATTTACATTATTAATTCTAGATGTAATCTATATAATCCATTTATATGTCACCCAATACACTCGTGGATATTATTAACGAAACAAAGATTTCATTATTAACGCATACACTAATTATGTGGTCTTTAAAATGTACCAACATTGTATGCTCAATATAAGAAACTATTCTATTTGCTCCTCAATATAAAGTAATATACATAAAATATAAATATCAAAATAGACATAGTGTAGTTTATACTTACCTAGAGGAAAATAATACCTTTAAGAACAACTGACGTTTATTTCGGGTGCTGGTATATACAATGTGAGTGAGTAAAGAGAGACGGGACTCGCTCCCATATATACCTTCACGGAGCTAACCCTCATCGTCAGTGTTAAGTAACTTTTAATCCACTTAGTTTCTAAACTTGGTCTGAGCCTATAATTGCAGGAAACCGCAAGTAATGTTTCGACTCTAACTGTATAAAAGTTGTATAAGAGATCTTGAAAACCATTAATAAATATTTAAATAATTATAATGTAAATGAAATGTGCAGGACAAAGGCTTTTCGGGGAGATTTTATAAGACATGTATGACTAAACATCTGAACGTAATATATGTATACTATAACAGTTACATGATAAAATTATTATACAGGCAAGGGTAGTTATTTACAAATATTCAATCCCACCACGGTCTTTATTTTATTTAATTTAATTATTTTCTTATTTAGAATTCAGTTTCGGGTGGTACATCTCAATAAAATAGCTTTCTTTTGACGCCAAGAGGTCGTTGTTTTTGCTATTAAGCCTATATAAAGGAAAAACACTAAGATCTACACAAAGTCAGCGATCAACAACATAGCTCTCAACACCAGGAATATACTCTTTCTGAGGCCAGATCTAAAACTGCGACTCTTCGAAATAATCCACGATCTAATGACCACTTTTGGATTAAGTAGATTAGTGAAGTAAGAGGCGGTCACGGTTAGACGGGCATCTAAACACTAAACTACATAGGGTAGATAGGGGACATATATCAAATTAGCAGGGTAGTGGAGTAAGGGAGGGACACGGTCAGACGGTCCCGGCATCAAAACACTCTTCCGCTAAAAAGACACAAACCCTGCAGAGTAGGAAAGTGGAATAAGGAGAGGTTACGATAATACGGGCATGCCATCTAAACCCATACAGATGACATCTATCAATCCAGAGAAGAGGCGCTGTAGGATAAAGCACGAGACTGAGGTTATGCTGGGGAAAGAAAGACTGGAGAAAATAACCCGAGAAAAAGAAAACCGAGGCCGACCGGCCGAGGGTTTTTTCTGAAGTCTTTCTTCCCCAGCATAACGAAGTCGAGGACTTTATCTTGCTTATAAACCGTCTATGTTTACATGTACCCAAGATGAGAATATCCCAGGATTCCCGTAAGAAAAACCTTATATCATGTTTTCTTATGGAAAAAAACCTACCCTGGAAGAATAACCCGGTACAGGTTTAAAGAAAAACTTTCAGAAGAATAACTGCAAATTTCCCTGTATATATCCAAAGCCGCCCCCGACTTTCAGACCGCAAGTTATTCCGGGCATAGAATATACCCCAAAGATCAAATAGATTTACCGTTACAGGTTTATAAGTCCGCATAAATGCTCTCTCTACAGATTAACTACCGAACCCACTAAACCCACCCAATGGCCTAAGGCCGTAAATGAAAAGATTGCAAGATCATATTCTAAATAAACCGGAAGAAGCTTGATCGGCTCCCCTACGTTTTGTCTGCGATATCACTTTAGTGGGAGCGGGCGTTAAAGAACCAACTTCTATGTTCTGACCTGTTCGAGTTAATTAATCTTGTGATCTATTGAACCAAACATCAAAGCTCATTCGGACCACCATCTGGCTCATATGATAATAAATACTAGAAACCGAGATTTAGACATCTAACTAGACTCTATCATGACTATGACTGTATGTGCTTTTATTTTCGTCAATTTAAGTTAATTTCAGTATGTAGTACACATTTTAAAACCAATACCAGTCCCGGTAGCTAGCATGATGGAAAATTTACTTGCGTATAAATGATGCATAGAAAAGCAATCAAAATATTTCGCTCATCTTGTTCCGAAAATAAACACAGTTTTACACGTTTGTCAACTAATTTAGTGTATTGTTTCGATCACCGGCTAAATGAGGAAGAATGTGTTCAAATGGCTGAAAGCATAGGAGAGTTACTGGCCCTATTAAGTTTAAACTGAACCAATTATTGGCGTATTTTCTGAATTTAAAGTACCAATATGTCTAAACAAATTATATAGAATTATAAAATAGAATAGTATCTACATGTTTATTCGTTTTCCCGGTGCATGACATAAAATGTATTTAAAAGGTACGCGTCTTTAATAGTTTATTTTAAAGCAGTAAGCGCGGACCTCAATAAGTGTTTTACAGGTGAAATAAACACCGAAATTGTGTTGAATCTTAGATGTATTCTTTATGAATATACTACACACTATTCCAGAGCGTGTCCGTTTTATAATGACATTTCGGGTTCAATCACATATTGATGCTTTGCCAATATTACTTCGCAAATGGATGCTTTGTTGTTTGAAATGTGAGAAGTTAGAAATTGTATATCCTTGTCCGGGCATTCATTTTCATTAACTGATAAATGACACACTATGAGTAGAATGCAATGAGTTACGATAAGCCCCTTGCTGGGTTGCGCCGTTGAAAGCTGAAATGACTGACGACATGACGATGCTCCGATCCACCTTTTTCTACCAATAAATCATTTGCTGTCAGTCGAGTCTAGTCCCGGTAGTCGCCACAGGTTGCGTTGCGTAGTAAGTGCTAGGAGAACCACGATTAAGGCTGCTGTAAGCGATACATTACAAAATTGTCCATGGAATCTCTGGAAACATGAGTCGACCTCGAAATTAAGTTTGCATTAACCTTAAATGGGAATAGGCCGCCAAAGAGTTAATAGTCTTCAGATTATGTCGCCCACGGCCGTTGGTGCTTACGATATGTATTCAAATCATGGTACATTCGAGTAGTAGCAGTACAATTATTGATTCGAATTCTCAGCAACACCCACAGTTCCACGGTACGCTACAAATATTAAAAAAAACCTGTCCAATTGATTACTTCCGATACGCGTCAAATTAGCTCCGAGCGGGCTAACGAAGACCGGTATACGTCATACAGTGTGCTATGCGGCAAATTTTGCCCGGACAGCAGCGCTATGACCTACTCTTGTATTAAATTCCAACTGCCAAGGTCGTTTACGTGCACGCCAATGTGTACACGGGAGCTCGTTCTTTTGTCCCATCCGAATGACTATACATTGTCCCTGTCAGGCCTACTGTCCTGCACTATGGACAAGGGGGGAACCACGCCGGAGAACACCGATGAACTTTCTCGGCCAACTCAAGGATTGATCAGTTTAGCGAGTCAGCGTCTTACCCACTGAGCCACTACGGATATAGCAAATATTGCAGTTGGGTGTAATAATGACAGAATGGTAAAGCGTGTTCAATATTAAAGGAATTTATTGGAATGAAATAATGAACGCAATAGGTTTAAACTCATATTCCACTTCTCCGGGCAGGATTGAAAATAGTCGTTTCTGGAAGCTTTGTAACTTGATCATCTTCCTCCGAACTAGAATGACAGTCTTTATTCATTCGGATAAATGATTGGGATTTTTTAACTCGAGGATGTTTCCACGATTTAAACGTGATGTAAAGATCGTCAAATATTTCCGTAATTCTTTCAGTCATTTCCGATACTGAAACCTCGTAAAATCCCACACAACCCATTTCACATGCGCGACGTCTGCCCTCATCAAACGTCACCATTCGATCCCTTGTTTTGTCTATCTGATTGCCTACTAATATAACTGGAGCTGTGGCTATTGTTACTTTAGAAGATGGATCACTGGTCATTCTTAATGGTCTTCTTTTTTTGCAATAGGAGTTGATGAGGAACTTTAGCCTACAGCACTCGTTGAAGCTACACGTGTCGGTGACCGAATACATCAAAATAAAGGCATCTGCCCAACGGATATTTTCCTCCATACAATTGTTTTCATACTGAAAGAAAGCGGGAAAATGTGTGAAATGGTTTAATTCAAGACATAAACATCCTTTATATTACACTATCATTCGATCCATTGGTTAATTAATACATACTGTACAGTGAGTAAGGCGCTGGTTCTCTTAAGGAGAAAGGTCTTCGGGATTTTCCAGTCAGGATCACAGAGTGCAGTACAGAGTGCATAACTAGGTCCCGTTGGTGTTCACATAAAAGGGTCCCCCCTTATCAGCTGGAATTCGATGAAGAGTAAGCCCATACGCCGCTTCGTGGGCAATATTCCCACACGACACACTGCGTGGTGTATGACCGTATTAGCTCGATTGGTGAGGAAATGTAAAACGTTAAATCCCTTTTTATTAAATAATACATGCACAGGTTATTGATTCTCTCCGAACAAGATTTGTTAATTGAAATACACCCAAAGATTGCAAGTGTCGTGTTTCCTTACATTTTCTTTGATATTTTTACTTTCAGTAGGACGTATGACCAGAGTATTTGTCTTAGGCTTCTTTAAGGACAATATTGGTGTCTGTCATTATCACATATGTGATAGAGCTGGTTAAACACATTCCAAATATAATTTTAACACAGAGATCATTGCTACGATAGCTGAGTAATACAGGTTTCCTGAATCGGAAGTGACGAACGCCAAAGGAAAACACGAGTCATACCTCTATATAACTGACTGATGTGACGAGTGATAACAGATACACGGCCGAATTTCTGCTCACTAATAATCAAGTTGTTCAATTGATTTCAATTCATATCAAGGTACAGTTATGTGTAGGATAAAGCACGAGTCCGAGGTTATGTTGGGGATAGGAAGACTGAAAAAAATAACCCGAGAAAAAGAAAACCGAGGCCGGAAGGGCAAGATTTTTCTTTCGAGTTTTTATTTTTTCTTATGAGAATATCCCAGAATTCTAGTAAGAAAAACCTTATAACATGTTTACTTATGAAAAAAAACCACCCTTGAAGAATAACCCGTTACAGGTTTACAGAAAAACTTTCAGAAGAATAACCCAAAATTCCCCTGTATGTATCCAAAGCCGCCCCCGACTTTCAGACAGCGAGTTATTCCGGGTACAGAATATACCCAAAGATCAGAGATATTTACCGTTAGAGGTTTCTAATTTACCTGAACTGCTGTATCCAATATTTCAAAGTCCACATTGCTTCCATGTACTGATTTATGACATCGATAAACTTGTTCTATAGAAAAAAGAACTATGTTACAGAAATCCACATAGGGTTAAATTATTATATATGATGTTTCAATACAGTTTCTGAAATAAGTCCTTAAATGTCACAGATCGTCATTTTAGGGTGTCAATTGCCTTGTAAATTACGTGTACCATATTGTGAATGTTACATCTCCATTCCTTTCAGCTCGCTAGCCTGGGGTCGCGTGTTCGATCACTGGATTGACCGAGAAAGTTTATCGGGATTTTCCGATGTCGTTTCTCCTTGTCAGTGGTGAAGAACAAAGGGTCGGACAAGAACAGCTGTCTATTCATTCGGATGGCACGAAAACTCGAGGTCCCGTGTATACATTGGCTTGCACGTAAAAGATCCCTTGGCAGTTGGAATTCGATATAAGAGTAGGCCGTAGCACCACTGTCCGGGCAAAATTTCCTTCATTATTTATAAAAATGTTAACATTCGGCAACCACTGCAGATGATGATCAAATCAAGCTAGCGCCGCCTATAATAATTTGAATGGACAGCTTTTTAATCCGATTGCATGTTTGGTGATTGTGATTTTGGATATCAGCAATTCTTTGAACGCTACTGCCATAGTATCCTTTTTGGTTATTGGTGGTGATTAAGTAGTAGGCTAAGGCCCATTTATTTCTACTTTATGTAAAGTTACAGTCATTTAACTGAAACACGTTATTTACTAATTGATGTAAAGTTACAGTCATTTTACTGAAATACGTTCTTTACTAATTTATGTTATTGGCGGTGATTAAGTAGCAGACTAAGACCTGATTATTACTAATTTATGTAAAGTTACAGTCATTTAACTGAAACACGTTCTTTACTAATTGATGTAAAGTTACAGTAATTTAACTGAACACGTTCTTTACTAATGTATGTAAAGTTACAGTCATTTTACTGGAACACGTTCCTTACTAATTTATGTAAAGTTACAGTAATTTAACCGAAACACGTTATTACTAATTTATGTAAAGTTACGGTCATTTTACTGTAACTCCTTCTTTATGTGAGGTTACAGTGGAGATCCGTTCTTTAATATTTTTTATAAAGTCACGGTCTTTTAACTAAAACCCGCGTTTTACTACTTTATGTAAAGTTGGAGTCATTTAACAAACACCCGTTCTTTACTATTCTATGTAAACTTACAACCATCTACCTCTTTCTTTAATTTATAATTTATTATCTTCAACATTGGATCGTATTCTCCAATCAATGATTTTAGAGACTGCAATTCGAGCTTGTAATACTACGTCTATTATTACGTACCAAGAGTTGGATCATATTCACCAATAAATCTTCTAGTCAGAAATCGTACTGTTAGAGCTGCAAACACATAAAACAAAGTATTATATGATTTTTATTACTCGTTTTCAGTATGTATATATATTATATCATTCATTCGGATGGGACAATTGGGACATTGGTGTGAACGTAAAAGAACTCTTGATACATGGAATTCGAAATAATCGCAGGCCGTAGCGCCGCTATCCGGGCAAACTTTCCCTCATAGGACACTGCATGGCATATGCCCGTCTTCATTAGCCCTTTCGGGGCAGAACAGTAGGATGTTAAACTCCATTTCATTTCATATATATAACACCAAGACCAGAGAGAGAGAAAGAAATGGGGTTTAACGTCCACTCGACACAAACTAGGTCATTTCGGGACTAACATATGGTTTAATTTTATTTACATAATTCGCTTGCGCGTAGGGGTCTTTAGCAGTGGGAGGACACCGGAGGACCCGGAGAAAACCCACGAGGTTGGACAGGCGACCGTACTCCTTGCCACGTACAACCGGGGGATTCGAAACCACGCCAGTCGACTCAATGACAGACTTTAAGAAGAGTCGACTGGCGTGGTCGGGTGGTTGGATGGCCGAATGGTTAGCACGTGCGTGCTATATCGTACGGCCTGTCATTGAGCCAGGCTGTTTTTCTTACTCGCCATATGTACAGTAGCACATGATGAAAATAAGAACCAAAATATACTTACCCGATTTTCCGACGCCATTTTGTCCTAATATGGCCACTCGAAAACACCTTTGCTTTTGACGAAGAGATATTTTCTTCAGTGTATATTTTGAATTATTTGAAGGCAAAGACATCACTCTGCAACCTGATATACTGCAATCTATTTTGTATTCCTGTTCTGTAGAGTCCAAATATTAAAAAATGTGAGATAAGAAATCTGTTATGACTTTCTCTAAGAATGGTAAATGAAATGAAATGGGGTTAAACGTCCTATACTGTTTTGCCCCGTTTGGGCTAATGAAGGCGGCAAATGTACATAATATTCGTGTTGTTCTCAGAAAGACAACGTACAATAGGCTAATAAAGGTGTGTTGTGGACGGATTAGATTGACAGGTGGGTAGATCTAGATAGTAGATAATTAATCTGTATATAGAAGTTCTAACTGGCAACATGTGCATTTGGGACGGTGTGAACAATACCTTAATTAGTTCTACTACCTATAATTAACATGTCAGGTCTCGTGTATTAGTAATTAATAATTATACCCCTTTCAAAAAGAACAGATTAAATATAGTTTATTTAAAGCCCATCATAATTATTTAGTCTGTCGTCTGTTAACCGATTTGGGGGTCACTGTGGCTAAGTGCGTAAGACGCTGTCTCGCTAGCCTGGAGGTCGGGTGTTCGATCCCTGCATTGGCCGAGAAAGTGATGCAGGACGGAGAGTCTGACAAGGACAGCTGTCTAATCGTTCTGATGGGACGAAAAACCGAGGTCCCGTGTACACCTTGGCGTGTACGTAAAAGATCCTTTGACAGTTGGGATCCGAGTAGACCGTATTGCCGCTGTCCGGGCCAAATTTTCCTCATAGCAAACTGTATGGCGTATGCAGTTCGGAGCAGAACAGAGAACGTTAAACCCCATTTCATTTCATTTCGTTAACCGATTTGTATATTTTGCTTAATGGGGGCAAATTCGATCTTTTTATTCAAATTTGGTTGATCTATTTAACTGAGGATAGTCAGCCCCACAGGCTTACCTTGACGCCCCCCCCCCCTCTCCATAACAAAATAAAAAAGACCGAAACAAAGAAACGAGTTGTCTTTATTTAAAGATACATTGTGGGAGATTAAATAAAGAACTGGAAGTTCTGACTATAATATTTATAACCTAGATAATGTAAAGGAAATTTGCTGAAAATTTCAGTCATATTGATTCACTCTGAAACGAGAATTTAACGATTGAATTTTCGGCCTAGCCTCGATCATCATTACTAAAGTCGTACGATAAAAAGAACATAGTCTCGATTATTCATTTCTTGATTAAATCATGAATGGAAGTCCAACAGCAAATCGGAACCTGGTCAAATAAACATCACACTTCCCCAATTCCCCCTTAACTGTTTAAGATTGGTGTCATTTAATGTCGAGTCGATGTTGTATCAAAGAATTTTATTTCGATTTGTCTATGATTTTTTACGTCTACATTTCACGATAGCGTATTTTATCGTCAGATTACGACCGTGGTCCGTCATCACATTTATTGTCGTATTTTTGTTACCATTTCGCCTGTTAATATTAATATTTTTCATATTAAAACATATTTTTCATATTAACATCTACGAGACAAAGTGAACTATGGCGTGCGTGTATACCAAACATTTACAATATTGGCTACGTGTCCCGAAATCCTCTAATTATAGGCTATATATATATAAACTGGGGGTCACCTGTATTCTGTAACATCTGTTATTTAATTAAGTTGTAATATTGGATGTCCAACTGGACATTGCAGTGATTTAATCATCTATCAGCTGTTTCGTCAATATTTATATATATCTCTTGACGAATTTGGGTTAAACTTGGACCATTATGGTGATCCTGACCATAAAAAAGCTGTTATATCAATTAGAAGACTGGTCACTTGTAATAAAATGAATATCAATTGTATCGTTCTACAATATTAATTACTTATGTCGCCCATAGCAATATAAAGGTCTGGTTACGATTAATTTCAGTATGCATACTCTACCAACTATACAGGTAAGACCAGCAATAATTTAATTTTGGTTTTTATTTATGTGGAAGATTTTTGGTCTAGAGATTGGCTACTGATAATACTGATTCCAAGTAGTTATTCGCTGACTATTAAATTAATTAACCTTTATATCCTATACTCATAGAATAAAAAGTATTTGATTTAAACAATATTTTATTCAGATCAGATTCATTTTAAGTACATGCAATTTCAAGAATGTACTACTGGACTTCTTTGATGAGTTTTCTTTGTGATTGAAATGACAACTACAGGTTAAGGTACATTAAGGTACATTAAGAGTTGGCAGTTCTCACTATAATAGTTAAAAACTAGATAATACAAAGACAATTTGCTGAAAATTTCAGTCAAATTGATGCATTATGAACCGAGATTTAAGCGATTGAAATTTCGGCCTAGCCTCGATCATATCATTACTAATGTCTGTACGATAAAAAAAAACATAGTCTCGATCACCCATTTCATGATTAAGCTATGAATGGATGTCGAACAGCAAATGGGATCATAATCCAGTAAATATTGCAGGCTACCGATGCCATCGAGAGTTGATTATGGTCTGGAATTAATGTCTAATTAATAATTTAGATAACATTTCAGATCTGCAATTGGCAGATATAGCTCTTGCATAATGTATGTTTAAATCGTTTATACAAGTGTATTATTAAAACCGCAGATTCATTGTATATGCAATGTTAAGAATGTTGTAGTACTATTGGACTTCTTTGCTTTGAAGTGTTTTCTTGGCACCAATCTTCCTCGTTCTCAATAAAGTGTATATAGTCTTTGATGTTTACTCTGGCAGACCTGGTGAACCCTAATGAATTTCGCTCAACACCCTCTTTTACAACCCCCCCCCCCCCAATTCGTTTACGTCATAGACTGACCTTGGTGTTAATTTCCTTCCCAAATATTGAATAACCATGCCCCATACCCAAAAGACAGAGAGGGGAATATTATTTTATTTGGTTTTACCAAAACACTTTATAAACAAGATAGTATTTGATAGATATTTTGACAATGGCAAGTACATAACCAGTGTTTTTACGGGGACATCTCACTGTGCCCCCTGCTATTGTTCTCATGGGGGGATTAATCAAGCAAGGGGATTATCGAATACAATGGTGTTAAAAGTATAGTCTGTTTTTTTAAACTACTAGGTTTAAACTAATTAACAACTTTATTCACAATAAATTTCATAAAAGTAACAACAAATACATGTATCAAACATAAATCATAACCCTACTAAATGTGATATGGCGTCAGTATATTCAATTGCACTTTTTACTCCATTTAACAGTTTGATTTTTAGATCATTAATAGATTCTTCTACTCTTTTATATTTTCGTCTTTTAGGGGGCAATCGTCCCCCGTTATCCAATTGAACTATTCTATTTTCATTAAAAGTCTGCTGGTGCTATTGGGTTTCCTATTTTTTACTCTGTACTTATACCCCAAATTAACAAAATTTTGACCTCCTTAAGAATTAGGAATAAATCCTATGCGAACTTGAGCCATTTTTAAAGATATATGTAATTGGGGGTGCAACTATCCTTATATAATGATAGTGAATTTCTAATCATATATTTGATTGATTTATGAGTACTGTCTGAATGAAAGGTAGGTGAATAATATTTAAGATACTCGTTAACCGATGACACGTGAATTTAACTTATATATTTTAATCATTAAAATAATTAAATTTTAACTAGGTGAACAGTACTAATAAGGATACAGTCTATAATCCTTTGTTTACTTAAATTTTCACACCACTACCCTATAACACCAGTTGATTGGGGGGCACAGTGAGATTAAAACGTTTTTACCAACCAAATTATAACCGTTTTTTATATATAAACCTACCGCTCAATTTAATTTGAATGCGTGAGATAATTATGGCTCTATACAATCTCTTAATCCAATAATAAGTTAAAGATACAATATAGTTGCAGAGACCACAGTACTACAATGTAAGGATTCACAAACATGCCAAAGGCTTATATCAATTCGTCACACTATAATAACCAGCGGCTGCCAGGCAGGGTACGCCCACATTTTCGAGAGAATAAATGGATAGAGAACAAGCTAAAAAAAAAGTAATTTTTCCTACAATCAAGGACCATAATTCATGAAGTAACAATTCGATATGCGTTATAAACATGCATTTCAAGTTTCATAAAAATTGGATTAAAATTGTGACCTCTACAGGGTCAACAACCTTGATATACCATATTTTTACACCTTTCGCATACAAGCCCCGGCCATTTTGCCCGGCAGTTTTGGTTTGATTTTCAGGAAATTTGAACTCAACCTTTATTATGGTGTAACGGTGATATATTCAAACGATTTTTAAAATCAAATAATAACTGTGAGCTTTAGAGGGACCACAAGCTAAAGAAAGGCGATTTTTCGTATAACCAGGAGCCATAATTCAGGAAGTTACGATCCGATATGCGACAATATCGAAAGTAATCAAGATCTTTAGGATATAAACATGCATTTTAAGTTTCATCAAAATCGAATTAAAATTGCGACCTCTACAGGGTCCACAACCTTGATATACCATATTTTTACACTATTCGCGTACAAGCGGTGGGCAATTTGGTCCGGCAATTTTGGTCCGATTTTCACGAAATCCGAACTCAACCTTCATTACGGTGTAACGGGGATATATAATCAAAGGTTTTTTGTTTTTTTTTAAATCGGATAATAATTGTGACCTCCAGAGGAACCACAAGCTAAAAAAGGGCGATTTTGCGTACAATCTGTGGCCATAATTCAGGAAGTTACAATCCGATATGCGCAAATATCGACAGGAACCATGATCATTAGGTTATAAACATGCATTTCAAGTTTCATCAAAATCGAATTAAAATTGTGACCTATACAGGGTCCACAAACTTGATTTACTATATTTTTACACTATTTACGTACAAACGGCGCCATTTTGTCCGGCAATTTTGGTCTGATTTTCACGAAATTCGAACTCAACCCTCCTTAGGGAGTAACGGTGATATAATAATACGGTTTTTTAAATCGGATAAAAATTATGACCTCTATAGGGTCCACAAGCTAAAAAGGC